CAGAATCGTCTAGGAACTCATTAGAATGCTGGTTGTCAGGACCCTTCCCCAGAAGATGGGCGGGGACAGGGGAGAGACTGGAGGTGAGCTCAGAAACCTCCCGCTAACCCGCACCCCCAGGTGACTGACACGTGTGATCCAAAAATTACTCTTCAGGAAACACTAAAGGTGTGGCAGTCCCAGGCAATGGGAGAAGTGAGGAGAGCCTTTCTGAGAGTCTTCTTATTTCTTGTTTTAAAATCTTTATTGTTGAAAGTTTTACATATGTCCCCTTTTCTTTCCCATTGACCCCTTATAGCCCGGCCCTGTCCCCCGCCCCAGGCCTCCAGCCCCCTATTGGCTGTGTCCATGGGTTATGCCTATATGCATACAAGTTCTTTGGTTGATCGCTTCTCACCCACCCACCCTCCCTCACCTTCCCTCTGAGATTTGACAGTCTGCGTGAGAGTTTTATAAAAACTTCAGCACACACCTGCTAATTCAGCCCCTTCCTCCTCCCCCCCCCCCCCCACCAACACGCCCCGCACCCTGCTCTGCCCATACGTTTTAGGACTAGGCTTCCTTGTCTGTGAAAGATCTGCCTTACAGACACAGGACTCCTAGTCGCAAGCACATCTATTGTAAAATACACGGGCAGTGAGTTCGCAGCGCTGAGCCAAGCCCTGGTGCCCTGGAACAGCTGCCCATCACTGGGAGGGCACAGCCTACTTTTTGAATGGAATCCCTGCATTGCCACCAAGAGCTACCCAGTCTCCCAGGGAAAGAGAACATCCTAAGCTGTAATTAGATCACACTTCAGTTAATTGTTAATCAGTTAATTGTCTGAGAAAACCCAGGGGTGGATGTAGGCAGAGATGCTAATGAAGGAGATGGGAGGATCCTCATTAGACTCCATCCACCTCACAGATGGAACAGTTTAGCAGTGAGGGAGGGAGCTGGTGAGCTGTGGAAGCAGGACAACTCTGCTTTGAAACAGCCTGTCTTCCCTTGTTCTCACCCCAGGCCCTGAAGTAGGTTTGCAACTGCCTTTGAAAGATTATGCCCCTTAGCCGTGCCCACCCATCCGCACCAGCTGGGGACACTGTAGATGCTGCCGTCATGCTCTGTGCACGCCTGACCTCCGAGTAGCCCGGATGTACAGGTGTACCTCAACTCCCGGAACAGCCATGCTCCTAATGTTGTATGGACATTTTTATAACTCAGCTCATCTCCTGACTGTACTTGAGAAGCTGGCTACTTAAAGGAACCCAGAGGTGAATTCTTTTGTAAAGAATCCTTTTGTAATGCAATTAATTGTCCCTTAACGTATCTGTTTTGTAAGTTTGGATTTTTGTATATCGGGTTTACCTTAAGCTTCTCTACTGAGGCATTCTGAGCAGGGTGTTGACATGGCAGGCCGCCCTGCCTCTCCACAGAGCAGACGGCCCATGCACAGCTCCCGGGGTGTCCCCTGAGGAACTGCTTGGCCAGCTCTGGGGCCTGGATGCGGCAAGCAGCAGCAGGGAGGGGCTGGCAGCAGGCCTACTGCCCTCAGCTCTGCCTGCGATGCCTCGGGGTCTGGGTACAGAAAAACAAAGCATCTTTGCTCGTGGTGAAATGAAGCAGTCTTCATACTTAGTAGTGATTATTTTTATCGGTAGTGATTGAACAGTGTTTTGCAATTTGTGAAACAGTGTGTTGTGTTTTGTAAAAAGATTTCATGAAACGGTGGGTCCTTTGGAAACCCTCCTTTCTGTTCTGCTCCACCTGTTCCCTCCACGCCCCAGGCTCAGAACACAGGAAGACCGGAAGTCCTCAGGCAGAGGTGGTGTGTGGGCAAAGATGTAAGGGAGGCTGCTACCTTCCTCCTCTTGTGGGCTCTTACTTCATGAGATTGGGAAGGCCAGTCTTTCCCACGCCCTGGTGCTGGGAACCTGGGATGGGACCTGATGTCGCACATCCCCCACCCCGTTTTCCAAGGCGCACCTGGCACAGGAAGCACACAACAAAGCATGACTGGGTGAGTGAGGACAGATCGGTCCATGTAAATATTAATCAGGGCCCCAGAGTGTGGATGCTTCGAGGTAGAGGACAAGGGATTCTTCCAACAGTGAAAGACCAGCTGGGAGAGTGTCTGGGACAGACAAGTGAGGCAGCCGCAGGGACCAGTCAGTTGAGGTCTTCAATGTGCCTGGAGGTGACTCTCCATTACTCATGGATCTTGCTGTCACACAAACTCTATACAGGATCTGCTGCTTCCGTGCCAACCGGACAAGTGGTAAGTGGAGCCGCTACCAAGAACAGCTTTGCTACATGGGCAGCAAGCGTCTCAGGGTTGGTGGGGGTCTGTCAGAGCCTTGCAGCTGGTGAGCATGTCTGGGTGTGGAGAGAGAAGGAAGGGGAAAGAAACGACTTAGAGCCTCTCTTCCTCCCAGCTCAGATTTTTGATCAGCAAACCAGGAAATCCAACCAGTCCCCAGGAGGAACTGCTTTCTCGTCATCCAAACCACGTCACCGCCTTCATTGTTTAGTTGTTCCTTCCGTCGCCCACCGACGCCATCCATCGAATCCAGGATGCCCTCACTTTTTTTAGTTTAGTTCTTAATCGTTTTATGAAAATAATGTACTTAAAGGTATTTTCTTAAGGTTTGTATGAGTGTTTGCACTGTGTGTTCATTTCAATGTGTTTGCGATCGCTCCGCTCCAGGAAGACCTGCGATGCTGTCTTGTGAGCATGACGTGAACAGGCTGCTTTGCTCCGGCCACTTTTCTTGTACAACCACGTGGGTGGATGAGATGTCCTCCCGTCTTTTCCATCTTTAGTTTCTATGACTGTGGAATAAATGTTCAGATAGAGACTTTGCTGTCGAGTGGACTGCTGACATTGTCTTTGGGGATTCAAATGCTGCTGTGGTACCAACGCCTTCCTGACACATGAAGTCTGGACCTGGCCTAGAGTGGGTCAACCACACCTCTAGTTTACAGATGGAAAAACCAGGGGTCAGGGAGTTACATACATTGCCAAGGCCGCACAGCTTGTGACAGTCATAGTGGAGATTCTTACATAAGCAGTGCTGTTTCCGGAACACCCATACCATAATGTCAGGATTCTGATCGTTGCCTTACAATATCTTCTTTTTCCTCTAAGCCCCCTGGTCTTTCCGCCATCTTACCCCAGCCCCGGCCTCAGCCTGGCCCCAGCTCCACAGAGGGAAGCGGGTGTGGTAAATGCACCTGCACTAGTCCATTGTCAACACTGTAGTCCCTGAGTCTCACAGAAATAGTTTTAAGCATCTCTTTTCGCTTCCTCATCCAACCAAAACCTGATATAAACACAGCTGCAAACACAGCTCGGCAGTCCTGCAGTCTCAGACATCTTGCTGTCTCTGACGACTCGGGCAGTTTTAGCCGCTGGCCAACTTGCCGTCATGAATCTGCTAGCTGGCCACATTCTTCACACACATTCTTTTGGAATATACCCAAGTCAAATCTCAGAAAAACATAGACCTACTATAACCTAATTCAGCCACCAAGTTACCCAAGGATGTTTTGCATCAGTCATTCATTTTCTGGATGATTTTGAGCGAGGCATTGGGGCTAGCTGCTGGAGATGGAAAGATAAAAAAGCAGATTCCGATCCCATGGAACTCAGTCTGTTGGGAGATCAAACTTGCAAAACAACATGGCAGGGACTTTGATAAAGAAACGCACACCAGGTGCTATGGGAACAGAGACAACACTTCTGTGTAGTGTGCATGCGTGTGTGTGCACCTGTGTGTGCATGTGTGTGTGTACATAAAAGGAACCCTCCACCCAGGTAAAAGAAACATACAAAGTTCCAGAGCTGGGACACTACAGCAATCAGATAGCTTAGCTGGGACACTACAGCAATCAGATAGCTTAGGAACATCAAATAGTTCATTATGACAAACATAAAGTACAGGTGAGTGTCAAGATCACTGTGCTAAATCAGATTTTTATCTAAAGACTGTAAGAACCATTAAAGGATTTTAATCGGAAGAGGGACATATTTAAAAGGATTTTAATAAGAAGAGGGACATTTAAAAGACGAGAATCCTCACCACTGGGTGGAACTGGCTGTCAGTCACATGCATTTAGTTTGTAGGGCGGTGAGCAAATGAAGTTAGCTTTGTGATGTTTTGAAATGACTTAGCCATGACATCATTTAATCAGGACTGATGGACTTAGAGACGGACAGACATAGACAAGCACGTATGGTCTAGATTCCAAAGATGTCAGTCATTTTTTCCTAGAAATAGGAAAAAAATGTAGAAGAAAAATTGACTCCTCAATTTCTTTATTCACAATAGAAGTTAATATTTAGCACAGTGCCTGGCACCTACCTGTCATAAACAGTTAATATCTAAACCCAAACCACCTGCTGCTCAGTAGTCTATTTGTCCCCAAACCAACAATGTGATGCTCAGGATTGGCCTGAAAGCACAGAGCAGCCACGGAAAGTATCATATTGCTGACTGCAGATGCATTGTGTCCAGCAACAGGGCTTGACCCCATGGTGTATGTGTGTGTGTGTGTGTGTGTGTGTGTGTGTGTGTGGTGTTGGGACAGGCAGGTGAGGGGATTGAGGGACCGTGACCTCCTTGGTGATACTGTAAGATTCCCCAGTTAAACCCATTTCTGAACCCATCCTCCATGACTGTGAAAGTCATCACAAGTCCTGCTCGTTATAGGTAGTGACCACAAAAGGACTGTCCTGACCCACCTCCTAGGACAGGTGGTGATCCAGAAAGAACCCATTTTGTGCAACCCTTTGCCACAGATTTATGACTTCTGGTTGCCTGGTTACAATAAAACTTAAAATTCAAGAACCTGCAACTTTAAGAACTCCCTGGAAAACAAGTCACAATCTCTTACCCAACAGTGAGCTGTGAAAGAGAACCCAGAACAGTCAAAAAAACCATCATCTTTTTAGGCATCATCTCAGAACAGACCCAATAAAACCACCAGGAGAAAGTACTTCAATTAATCAAAGAAATAAATAACTTAATCACAGTAGGCCCTTTATTCTAAATTGATGATTTCTGTTCAACAGAATTCAATTCTGTAACAGCAGGTGTAAATCAACTAATAATGGTAAATACAAAGTTTCAAAGAAAAATATAAAAGTAAACTGAATCCTGCTTTATTGAAGCTTGTGGAATATATAAAGTCCTACAGGAAGATTAGAGAGAATCTTCTGGAAAACAGGGATCACAACAACCTCTGTGGAGAGGTTGATAAGAGAAATTCTCCCTGTGGAGAGGCTGAGAGAAATTCATAGCTCACTTACCCCTCACTGTATGGCATCCCCAGAGTACCCAGACCTCTTCACCATCTCAGTCCTGACCCCATCCTCTTCAATCTTGATTTTAAGATAGAAAGGGCTACAGTATCTGAAATTGATAGGCCTCAAGAAATTTAAAGACTTTAATGTGTGTAGAAAATTCAAAACTTCAATAAGGAAGCCAGCTCACCTTCACAAGTTACTTCACTGGTCAATAAAAATGAATCGAGTCATCCTGGACATAATTCATTAAGGCTTCAAACCATCTGGGAAAGAGTAGCACAATTATAACATTAATAGGGGCCCGGTGCATGAAATTCTTGCACGGGAGGGGGGGGCAGTCCCCTCAGCCTGGCCTGCACCCTCTCCAATCCAGGACCCCTCGGGGGATGTCCAACTGCCTCTCACAATCCAGGACTGCTGGCTCCTAACCGCTCGCCTGCCTGATAGCCCCTAACCACCTCTGCCTGCCTGCCTAATCGTCCCTAACTGCTCCGCTACTAGCCTGATCGCCCCTAACTGCTCCCCTATCAGCCTAATCTCCCCAACTGCTCCCCTACTGGCCTAATTGCCCCTAACCGCCTCTGCCTGCCTGCCTAATCTCCCCTAACTGCTCCGCTACTAGCCTGATCGCCCCTAACTGCTCCCCTATCAGCCTAATCTCCCCAACTGCTCCCCTACTGGCCTAATTGCCCCTAACCGCCTCTGCCTCGCCCCACACCTGGGACCCAGGATTCCCCCCTCTGGTCGGTTGCAGGCACCCGGGACCTGGGCCTCCCTCCCTCTGGCCGGGCGCAGCCACAGGAGACCGTGGGCAGGCAGCTTTACCCAGGCTGCAGCCACAGGCACCCAGGACCATGGGGCGGATGGCTTGTCCCTCTCCCGGGCTGCAGGTGCAGATGCAGCCACTGGCGCCCAGGTCTACGGGGCAGGCGGCTTGTCCCTCTCCCAGGCCGCAGCCTGGCTGGTCCCCATTCCTCTCTCCCCAGCTCATTTGTGCCTGGCTGGTCCCCATTCCTCTCTCCCCGGCTCATTTGTGCCTGGCTGGTCCCCATTCCTTTCTCCCCAGTGTTGAGCGTCTGAGCAGTTCTGGCGCGAGGGCGCGAGGGTGTGATGACCATTTGCATATTAGCTCTTTATTATATAGGATGTAGTCCACGTTTACAAAAAGTTCACTACCCAAATCGAGAAATGTTTGTGCCCATAGATAGCTTATTTCTAAAGGATCTCATACATACACTCCCTCCCAAAATGGCCATGTGTCTCCTCTGTTCTTTATTTCCTTCTCCATGTCAAATATACCAACTTCACTTCTTCAGGTGGAATGAGCCTGAAGAAGAAAATGTTGAAAAGCCTAAAAGTAGGAAGTACACAAGGCTAGGAAGGAGACAAGAGTTGTTTGTAATTCATTTTATAAGCCAAGACTTGCACTCAGCAGTCCTTTCCCCTGATGTCATCCAGCTATCAGTGAGAACCTCAATGGAAAGTCTGTGAAGGACAACTGTTGACAAAGTGCCCACAGGCGACAGTCCAGGAGAGAAGAGGTAGAGGTTTGATGGTGAATGAGTAAGTGCTGTCTAGCCAGCCCCTCCTCTTCTCCTGGCTTAGATCAACCGATGTAGATGCGATGGAAATCGTTGGCACCAAAGGCAGCATTACACTTGGGACATTTGCGCTGGCGGGTATCATAGCGAGTCTTCACACACTCAAAGCAGAAGACGTGAAAGCACTTGGTAAGGACAGCATCCTTTTTACGCATGTTGCAACACGGACAGGTCAGGCGTGCCTAAAAAAGAAAGAAGTCAAAGTCTGAGCAACCATAAAGGTTTATGATCCAAAGGGCTCTCATACATAAGCAAACAAGATCCACCAAGCACTGAGGCAAAAGTACCATTTCCCCCCACAAAATAAACCATTCTCTGGTTACCTTCATGTACAGAAGTTCATATTTATTCTCCCCAGCTATTAGTAGGCCACTTCAGGCCCTGACTGACAAAAAAAAACCTGAAAAACAAAAGCCACACAGCAATCACTGAGGCAGATTTTCTAACCTTGTAATCCTTAATCTCCTCCATCAGAATCTCATCACACTTGGGTCCATTGTCTGGTTTCTTCGTGGTCTCCAGCTTTCTTCGAAGTCTAGAGATGTCCTCCTGCGGAAGGGCAGACAGCATACCCATCAGACACACTCCCAGACCTGCCATTTGTGACAAAAATGTCACTCCAACTTGAGCATCCTGTTGTGGGAAGTCCTTTCATGCCCAGCTGTCTTTTAGGAATGTAGAGAATTGCAAGTGGCAAGATATTTCTTTTGTTTCAGAACAGACAACTGTGATCATATCGCCAAACCAGAGCTGCATCTAACTACTGTCAATTCAGTACTGTGGAAATACAGTCTAAGAAATTAGAGGGCCTGAATTTTTAAAGATGAAAAGCCTGAAGGGATACTTCATTTTAAGGCAATCAGTTTTAAGCTGAAGGTAAATTGGATGAAATAATTAACAGATTTATGGATAAGGACAGAAAAGCATAATGAGAAACAGTTGGCATGCCCAAAATAGAAAAATTGTAGGAAAACTTTACTTTTTTTTTTAATCCTCACCGAGGATATATTTTTATTGTTTTAAAGAGAGGAAGGGGTGGGGGAGAGAAAGAGAGAGAAACATCTATCAGTTGCCTCCTGTATGCACCCTGACCAGGGATCGAACCTACAACTAGGCATGTATCCTGACCAGGAATCAAAGGTGCAACTTTTTAGTGCATGGGACGATGCTCCAACCAACCAAGCCACACAGCCAGGGTGAGCAGGAGACCTTTAAAGTCCTCTAATTAAGTATGTTGCTACACATTTACCAACTCATCCCTCTGGTAAGTATTTATTTCATGCCTACTAGGTGCTAGGCACCATGACAGGCTTTGGGGACACAGCAGTGAAGGAAACAGACTTGGTCTTTTCTCTTGAGGAATTGCAATCAAACAGGAAATGACATACTTTAAACCAATGACTCTTCCACAAGATGGGTCACTTCAGAGCTCAGAAAACACCTAACAAGTGAAATGCAAAGAAAAAAAACTCTTACCTGGGCTCGTTTGAAATTAAACATGTCTTTTTCTTTGGTGACACTGTTCTCCACGATCTCTTCCTGAAAATCATGCAACTTCTTCTGAGCCAACTCCAGTTGTGCTTTGAGGTCATCTGCAAGCTGGGCTGCCTCCATTGCCTACATGGGATGGACCAATAACGTCATCTTGTCACCTCTTAGTATTTCCAGTGAGGCAAAATGCTAACCCAGGTCCAAGGAGTAAGGTGATCTATGATTTCATCAGTGTCATACTTACTTGTTCCTCTGAGACTAATGGTCACTTTAGATTACAGAGCAATCAATCATACCTTGCGCTTATTCATCTCTAAGGCTTGTGTCCTAAGACCCAGCTCCTTCTCCCCGGTGCCAATGTTGCTTTGTAACAGATGTTCCTTCTCTTCCAATTTCCTTACTACTTGTAACTGGGCATCAACCTTTGAAGAAGAAAATCAGATTTTAACATAAATAGGAAGGAAAAAAAACAAAACTGTCTAGGCTTTGTTAATCCACAGGCCCACAAAAGAGAATCTTCTAGAAATCATAAACTACTACTGATTTTACCCATGACCCTGCAAAGCACATGCAAGATTAGGATAATTAAAAGCTTTACTTTTAATGCAATATATACGTCTATACACATATATATATACACATACACATACATATACATAAACATATACATATATGAGTCTAGGAAACCACGGAGAAGATTCTTCTCCAAATTGCCAAGATCAGAGGAATTACATTTATAGGTATTTATCTTCTCCGACCATACTAATCCTCAAAGCCTGGCAATTCATACTAGAACATGTAAATCATAGCTCAAACAAAAGTACAAGTGTATCTCTTTCAGAATGGCTAGAGGTTCAAAAGTATTCTTTTTCTTGAAACTCATGCACAAAAGAGAATCAAACAATATTAAGGGGTAAAGAGTAAAGTCACGTACCCACAAACTCTGATCCCAACATCCAGAGATAACCAGGTAACCACTCTTAATTAATTTCTCATGCAACCTTCCAGAAATTTTAAAAATACACAGCCCATGCACACAAAGACATGCATTTTTAGCACAAAGGGGATAATAAAATAAATCACTTAATGATATATTTTAGACATGTTTCCGTCTTAGCAGGTCTATATTTGTTTTAACAGCTACACTGTACTCCTTTGTAAGGATATATAATTTACTTACCAGTAACCTAATAACGTACATTTAGTTTTGTTTTTCCTATTATAAAAAAATGCCACAATCATCATTTTTAATGCATATTTTCATGTAGAAATTACCCTACTTCAACAGAATTCTGAAAAGCTGTTTATTCTAATTACCTGAGTCTTCAAAGTCAAAACCTGGTCGGCCAGCTCCTCCTTCTCTTCTTTGAGTAACTTATGGATCTGATTGGACTTGATACGTTCTGACATGAGCTTGAAATTGGCATCGTCCTTCTCCCGCAACTGCTGCATCAAGCGGATATTTTGCTCCTGCATGTCTTCAAAGGCCTGGCCTGTGACATCCATCTCAGAGAGGAGAGCTTCTTCCTCCTAAAATAAGGAGGAAAAACCTTCATTTTAATGGAATCTTCCAAAAAAAAATTAGCACAGGAAGCTAAGCTTCCCCACTGTTCATTCAGAAATAAATTAACCTGATGACAAGGAGACACTCAGTTTCAAGAAGCTTAGTTTTGTCATTATGTCAGCCCTAGGAAAGCAAAAGCAGCCCTATTATCTGAAGCCACTGGCACTACTGGTCTGTCACCATTAGTCGATCTGTTCTCCAAGTTAGTCACAACAGACAAAAATATTATACATCCCAGAATCAGCAACCTGATCCAGGAGCAGTTGATTAAGAGAACGTCTAACGCAAAACCTAACATTTTCTCACTTTTCCATAATTATAATACTGAATTTAATCTACAAACTTTCCAACAGCATTGCACAACAATCTGACTGGTGAAGAACAGTATCTAAAATAGTTTTCTTACATTTGTGTTATTGTAAATGAGCATCTTTTCTTAAACATCTGTATTTTTTTTCTGTGAACTATTCTTATCTTTTGCCTATTCTATCGGGTTGGTGGGTTTTCTTCCCTATCATCTTAGAAGTTTTTAAAATATATAAGCCCTTTTGTGATAAATTTTTCCCCCTGTTATTTATCTTTTGGCTTTGCTAACAGTGGTTTTTGTTATGTAGAAGTTTTGTGTGTGTGTGTGGGGGGGGGGGGGTTTCCCTCATTAAGTCAAAATTATCAATCTTTTCTTTCATGTTTATAGACTCTTAGTAATAGCTAGAAAGGTCTTCTCCACTCCAAATCTTTAGGAAGAATTAACACTATTAAGATAATGAATATAGGGTCTTTCTACTTGTGCTAAAACCTATAGTAGTATAATTTCCTAATAATTATTCTTTAAAAAAGAGAGAAAAGTGACAATCAGACTTAAGAGTCAAACCCCACTTTTTATAAAATGAATGTATATAGATTCTAAAAAAGTTCCTCTTTTAAAGGTACTTAATGATCAAGTCACCATTAAAATTACTTCATTTCATTGTCATGTTGCTATTTCTTAGAAACAGTGAAGGTGTTCCTCACAGTGAACATACATGGTTTTTCCAACCATTTTTGGTATCTTTTTGCTGAATGTCAAAAAATTCACTGGGACTTAAAAATAAAACAATCCATGCTCATTATCAGGAGGGAAAAGGTCTCTATAGTTCTAGGACCCACAAACAACCATGGTTAACATACTGGGTATTTATATCCTGTTTGGGGCACATGTTTTTTCTTAGTTTCATATATTTATAATCACAATGTATATAATATTTTCTATCTTTCATTTTAATTTTATATTCATTATATCCTGATTCCAGACCAAAAGAGAAAGGATAGATCCCTCAAAAAACAATGTCTAAACAACATGCTACCCATTTGAATGTAAAAAGTAAACTTCATGTCTCACAAATACACAAAACAAAGTAACTGAAGGATGAAAGACTTCAGTGTAAAACAAACAAACATATATAGGAAAAAATGTATTTTAAAAAAGACTGAAATGAAAGAGCCAATTTCACTGTCAGTAACATACCTGTCAGGTAACACTGACTTCAAAAGCTGGTTAAATAAAGACAGTGTGCCCACCTGCTTGGCCATGGCCAGCTTCTTCTGCAGGTATTCTATCTGCTCCTCTACTGCCCGGATCTTCCTCAAGGCGTCCTCATCAGCCATTTTCTTGTTCTCTTTTTTCTCCTTATCCTCTAGATCCTTGAGTCTTTGCCTTAGATCTTCCAACTACAGAAGGAAAGGAATCACACAAAAACAAAGAAAAGGCTACGATAAAATTTCAAAAATTAATTAATACTGTGCACAGATGGAGGGCCCATAACATCAAACTAATCTTTATAGAATTATGAAAGGTGATGAATAATATACACATCTCAGCACTGTTTTAATATCACTTCATTCCAACACTCCATACTTTCATAGCAACATTTCTGAGGAGTGCACATGTATGTTTCTTTAAAATAGTTCTCACTCTTTTTTCCTAGACTCGAAAATTCAAAATAAGACATTCTTCCCAAAAGTTACCAGAAAAGAGAATCATTATAACCATGATTTATATGGGTAAGAGGGGATAGAAAAGTTTGAAAAGACTATTCCTATTCCCAGTAATTCTGATTACCTCACCCACCACCTAGTGGAGAATCTGGAAATATCTATTTTAGATGGCTTTGAAAGGGAAAAAAATGTTGCTAAGTTTTAAACTCTAACTTTAAAAACAAAGAAACCATAGCCTTCAGAAGTGTGAAGGAAAATCCCACAAATGACGGTTTTAATCTGAATGACAGGTAATGGCGGACTAGATTACCTCTGCCTTCGACTTCTTCTCAGCTGCCATTAGCTGAACTTTGTCTCTCTGTTCCTTTGGGGCCGAGCGGTACATATCTAGCAACAGTTTCATCTCCTTCTGGCTCTCCTGTGCCTTCCTATGAAGAGGGTGGTTGAGGAAGGGGAAAGGTGTAACGAGAAAACAAAGGACATCAGAACATGGGAATTTAGAATTGAGCAAAATTATTTTGCAGCAGTTCTATTTTACACTTTACATCACACCTCTAAAAGACAAAACTTTCGCAACTATCAAGAGACTTCTGGGTATACTCAGGAAGGACAGAAAAGTAAGCTGTATAAAGGAATCATTTCTCCCTTCAGACCAGGTTCTAAAGTTATCAAGTAAACACTGTGGCCCTTAAGCAGGCACATTTCTGGGCCCTCACTCTTAGAAACTGATATTCAATAGGTCTGGGCAGGGGTCCAGGGCTGTATTTTAAATAAGTCACCCACATGATTCTGATACCACACTTGAAAAAATTTGTCTTAAAGAGGCCAAGAGGAAGGAAGGAGAAAAAAGGGAGAACGTTGAAAAATATACTGCTCTTCCTAGATTTGACAGTTAAGTGATCAGCCATCAGCCAAAGAAGAAAATTTCATCTCTTACTAAGTTATCAAACCTCTTAACTATACTTTCAGGTACCAAAGAAGTTCAAACATTTTGAGCACAGTGGTCCCTCAAATCCAAACATCAATAAAGGCCCAACCATGACCAATGGGGAGCAGGAAGTACCCAGTTCTACCAGAGCAGTTATGAGTTCAACAGGAAGAGCAGGGACGATGTGTGAGGTTCTATGGTTATATTTCATGGACCGTATAGCTGTTTTAAAGCCTGCAGGAATAAACCTCCCTAGAAATCTCTTGAAATGACCCAATATGTACCAAACTAGTTAACTGCCAGGCAAACAGATCAATATTGTTCCAACAGTGATATATATACTCTACCTAATATAAGTTAAATTAATGCCAGTGATCTGCCAGTAGTTAATTTCAGTAATTCTCAGGAGTGTTACTTCAATCATGACACCCCTTCCCATAATTTGGATTCATGACAAATAAGGTCACAACCACGAGGTTTACTGAGACTAGACCACTGAACTGGACTCCACAGTAGCCATGCAGGTCATTGTGGCTGTATGTACACTTGATCAAGAACTGAGACCACGTTAACTGCTCATTTAGTTACACTCAAAGTGACACAATTATCAGATAAGCCATGCCATCAAGCGAACATTTCATGCGTGATGTCCTAACCTTAGCTTTTGAGTCAGAAAGTTACTGTAAACATTGCTCTTACTTGAGTTCAATCTTCAATTGTTTGATAATTTCTGCTTCCTTTTTCCTTCCATCATCATGTTTCCCTTTCTCTTTCTCCTTAGCAGAATCCACATTAACTCCTCATTTAGTTACACTCAAAGTGACACAATTATCAGATAAGCCATGCCATCAAGCGAACATTTCATGCGTGATGTCCTAACCTTAGCTTTTGAGTCAGAAAGTTACTGTAAACATTGCTCTTACTTGAGTTCAATCTTCAATTGTTTGATAATTTCTGCTTCCTTTTTCCTTCCATCATCATGTTTCCCTTTCTCTTTCTCCTTAGCAGAATCTCTCTCTTTTTCTGATTCTTTTAGTTTCTGCTTCTCTCGTTCTCTCTCCTTTTCCTTCTCCCGCTCTCTTTCTCGCTCCCTTTCTTTCTCCCTCCTTTCTCGTTCTCGCTCTTCCTCATCCCGTTTGGACTTCATTTCGTTGGCCTCCTCCTGAGAGGCCTTCGATGCGGAGGACTGAGCAGACCAGTCTTCGGGATCTTGCTTCACCTCTGCAGGCTCGTCCTTAGGGTCTTCAGTACTAGACTGAGACTGCAGGAGGGCACTGCCACTGCGCAGCCGTGTCTGGGGGGACAAAGAAATGGGAGCAGCACATCACTTATGGCCACCACACTGCTTTCCTCACTCGAAAACTGCTTTACAAACTGAATAGTAAATAATACTTATTCTACTCCTCCCAGTTACCTTGTTCAGGTCCGACTGGGCTTCTCTCAATTTCCGCTTATACCTCAGGACTTCCCCTTTCAGCTGGTGATTGTGATTCTGGAGGCTACTGATGAGGTGGCGCATCTCCCGGTTGATGGGGCCTTAAACACAGCAACAGCAATGTTATGAAGAACTGTGATGAGGGGAGAGAGGACAGAACACATCAGGGACCTCTAAGAAATAGGGAGAACTGCCAAGAGTCCTTCTCAGAACATGAAAACAAAACGGGTCAATTTGAGTTAAAAATAAACACTCAGGCTGTGAACAGAAATGAATTACAGGATTTGATTTTAGGTTCTTTAGGACTTCTGAGCTCCAGTTAGTACTAACAAATCCTGGCGACCGTGTTGTGTCTTTCAAGGAAAGCATTTGCAGCAGCCAAACTGCAGGGAGGAGCAAGAATAATTCTACCTGCTTGCTCATTGGCGGCAAGGGTCTGCTCAAATTCTATCCTCAGCATTTCATATTCCTTGCGGACCTGGGCCAGGGTATCTTCTAGCTGGATCACTTCAGTCCTCAGCTTCTTATGAAGACTAACCTCATCTCGCTACACACAGAGAAAAAAATAAAAATAAAAAATTATTATCAAAATGTGGAAAGATCATCATGTTCTATTATGTTCCCTAAATTCAATTTTTATGGATCAAAGAAGAAAAAAAAATACCAAGAAAAGAGAGATTACTCTGAAAAGTTCCAATTTATGCACGCCAGACGGCTACTAAACACTAATTTGAGAATCAGCAAGATACTAAAGAAATAAAGGAAATGGCCCCTAACTGAGAATGTTACAATTTAATTGGAGAACTAAACAATAAAACAAAATATAAACATATGTAAAGTAAGATACACTAAATTAAATTCAGTTCATTTGGCAGAAATACAGCAAAAGACTGACTACTATAAAAAAACATTATCTTAAGGACTATATAAGATACAGAAGTGAACACATAAATAAAAAGTTTCTGCCTTCAGCTTGGCTGGTGTTGCTCAGTGGTTGAGCTTCGACCTATGAACCAGGAGGTCAAGGTTCGATTCCTGGTCAGGGCACATGCCCAGATTTTGGGTCAATCCCCAGCAGGGGGCAGCCAATCAATGATTCTGTCTCATTATTGATGTTTCTGTCTCTCCCTCTCCCTTACTCTCTGAAATCAATTTTTTTCTAAAAAGTTTCTGCCTTTAAAGAAAAGTATTTTCACAGGTATTATAAGCTATAATGGCTTGTAGCAGAGATGCAGCTTCTACCCACTATTCTCCAACATGCACATCAGGCTCCACCCACACTAACCTATTTTTATGTCTGTTGTTCTCACTGCTCAATGCTCTTCTCCTATTTTTATCTACCAGTAAACTTGTATTTATCCTTAAGATTCATACTTCACTTTGGCAAGTGGAATCTAGAAGGTTCCACAGTCAAATCAGATGCTCTGTCTCCTTTATCACTGCAAATGTGGGATATGCCTCTACTGTACCACACTGCATTCTAATGGATGCAATTCTCCCCACTAGCCTGTATGATTCTTGATGGCAGGATGCCCACCATCTAGCAGAGACAAGACTTACAGCAACTCTATAAGTATTTGCTGAATGAATAAGAGATTAACTGTACATGAGAGAATAAAATTAAAAAATTATGAGGCAGAAAAGCTTATATACAGAAGACAAAGATAGCTGTTACCTCAATGAGCTCCACCTGGCGCTGGTGAGTCCCCCTGGTACCATGGAGCAGGGTCCGAGCCTCATCCAAGTGCGCTTTCAACTGTAAGCTCTCATTGTAGAGGACGGAGAATTGTGACTGCATACAGCGATATTCTGGAGTCTCCTTAACCACTTCCTCCACTGCGCTCCGCAATTCCACCTCAGGGGGATCCAAAGAAAAGAAAATCAAAGCAGAACCTAGCATCTGTGCCCTAGATACTAGACAGGAAATAAAATGGTAAACTCTGGGGGGAAAAGGACACATATGTAATACCTTAATCAATAAAGAGAGAAAAACAAAAAACAAAAAATGTTAAACTCACTGATGTCCTGCGCAATTGAGACAAGCTTTATGAAGATTATAAAGTAGTCTACCCACTCCTCTGGTTATGTAAAAACCTACCCAAAATTAAATCAGATCACCCAAGAGGTAGTACCGGGTACCTGTACTCTTCCACCCAAGAGTTGTTTTACTTGGTAAGTGTTCTTCTACATTATGTGTCAACCTAGATCCAGGGACTCTAGAAAAGCCCTATGAAATCTGCCAGATTCAGGGACAGAGATGAGCACTATGAAATTTGTCAGGATGCTTACTTTAAGAACATAGTTAAGGACCCCAGTCACAAACTTGTTCTCTTTATTAATCACACAGAAAAATATTCTTGACATTGAATCAAAAATAGTTATGCTTCTCCTAAGTAACTGCCTGCTTTAATTACCCAAACGCTTCCACTGACTTAACTCAGATTGTTTTTGTCTTTTTTTCAGTTCAAACATCTTTATTTACCTAGAAATCAATCAAATTAAAAAAGACAGGTGGCTGTGATTGAAAGAGGAATGGAAGACTTTCAGAATCCATTTTCTTCCCCCCAAGAACCTGGGGAAAGTAAATTCCAATGGGCAGGTCTGAAAACCAACAGAATCACTGACCAGGTTTCTTTCTGTCTTGGCAGCTAGAAACTGCAGAGTCAAATGCAGTGCCCACCTTTGGCAATGACTGACATGTGAGTGGCCTCCCCTCCTACAGTATGCACAGGCTCCTGGCACATCTCTTGTGTACAAGTCCCATTTTTTTAATGCATTTTGGATCCTCACCCTAGATTATCCTATCCTCACTTTTCTCAACAATTCCTAAGTTGCAACATGTTAATTCAGTCTACATATCTTTGTAGGTTGCTTTCGATCTTTTTCAGAAGGAAGCAGGGTACAGATAAGTAAATATATAAGGAAATAAATCAACAAGCCAATTTCCCCTCATAAATTCTGAGGATTCACAAGTATGGACATGAGTTGGTCAGCAAAAACGTTTCAGTTTACTCCCCGTCAGAGATGTGTCTCCTACCTTCAGCTTTTCGTTTTGTGTGGTGACCTCGTCAAAGTCTTGCCGAAGTTTCTCCAGCTCACAGTGGCGGTTCTGAGCCAACTCTTTGTTCTCCTCAAGCTCTGCATTCATTTCCTCAAACTGGAGAGATGAAGGAAAAATGGGGACAAAGAATTTTCAAATCATTCCCATTCCTAAGTTTCCATCTTCACTGATCCACTCTTCTGGCAAAACCCCACTAGACCACTTGTGAACCCAATCCCAACCTGGCACAACACTGACACCAGATCAAAAAACACGTCCTGAGTGAGTCAGACTTTACCTTCCGGGCATTAATAGTGATTGTGCCGCCATAGAGACTGCTCCCCGCTCCATATACCTTGTAACCTTTCGAGTTCACCTACAGAGAAGACAAAGATTCTTCAGTGAGAGATCCCAAGATTTCAGTCTGGTAAGCAAAGTACTTTCAAAGGAATCTGTCCCCAAAAACTACTGCCCAAGTCCATGATTTCTGAGCAGACCCTGAAAATGATTCTAGTCTCCAAACTATGAATGAAACAGCACTTGCCCGTTCTAGGACTTCTGCTAAGTGTCGGTTGAGTCGCTGTTCCCTCTTCCGAATTTTGTCAATATCCCACTGCAGGTCATCAATCATGGACTCTAGGACAGACACTCGTGACTCAGCTGTCTCCACTTTACTCTGCAACTTGGAGAACTGGATCCCAAAGATGGGCATTCAAATAAGCATAGCAAAAAAAAAAAAACAAGTTAGAAAAACAATGGCTCACATCAATACCTTCTCAATGCATGAGTATAAAAATGAAATGACAGGTTCTTTTAACAGTTCCGAGTCAGTTACACTCATGAAAACCATGGAAGTCTATAAGAACTCTCATACAAGGAAGACTACTTAAGATTCAATACTTTTTCTACCTCTGGGAAACATCATTTCTCCAGATAGAATAGAATCCCATCAAAAAATGTGTAATTTTTAAAAAAAATACATTTTTATTGATTTCAGAGAGGAAGGTAGAGGGAGAGAGATAAAACATCAATGATGAGAGAATCATTGACCAGCTGCCTCCTGCACACCCCCTATTGGGGATTGAGCCTGCAACCTAGGCATGAATAGCCTGCAACCTGTGCCCTTGACCAGAATAGAACCCGGGACCCTTTAGTCCGCAGGCCAATGCTCTATTCACTGAGCCAAACTGCCTAGAGCAAATATGTATTTTTTAAGAGACAAAAGATAGCATTATCTTTTCAGACACATATTATAGGAGACAAAAATTCAAATAGATAGCCAGAAAAGACACCTATCTTTACCCCCAACTTTCTCTTCTCATTTCTACAAATGATATCCACAGAGAACAAAGGAAAGCTTTCATTCTCCTTTTAAAGCTCACCCAGGACAATCTTGAATCAGGTACTACAGAGATACAAAAATCTTTGGTGTTCTCTGTTTATTTAGGAACTACACACCAGCTAATACTATTTAATGCTTTAATTATGAATCTGTCACATGTTCACATTAATCTATGCATATCCTTTGTGTTGGTTTTAAAATGTCCACCCCCCTCCCACCCCCGCCCCATGCCCTAACTGGTTTGGCTCAGTGGATAGAGCGTCATCCTGCAGACTGAAGCGTCCCGGGTTCAATTCTAGTCAAGGGCACATACCTGGGTTGCAGGCTCAATCCCCAGTGTGGGGCATGCAGGAGGCAGCTGATCAATGATTCTCTCTCATCATTGATGTTTCTATCTCTCTCTTCCTCTTCCTTCCTCTCTGATATCAATAAAAAAATATTTTTAAAAAATAAAAATAAAATAAAATGTGGCCCCTAAATGCTTTGACAGTCCTCCAGTCAAGAGGTAGGATCACTGTTCCCTCTTCTTGAAGCTGAGTCAACTTCAGTGGCCCAGTGGAAATGTTGCTACATAACTTCGAGGCTATGTCTGGAAGGCCATGAAGGTTCTGCCTGTGGTTCACTCTCTGAAAGCCAGCTGCCACATAAGGAGTCTAACTACCCTGAAACTGCCACGTTGGAGAGCAACATGCAGGTGTTCCAGTGGACTAAGGTGAGCTCCCAGCTGACTGGTAGCAGTAACACAAGCCACAAGAGCCACCTTGGACATCAGCTCAGCTGAGCAAAGTAATGTGCCTCTCTAGCTTTGTAAAGCTAAGTGAGACTTGGGAAAGGCCTAGAAGAGGTACGTTCTTTCATCTTGGTAGCAAGTAGTTTGTCTTAAAATGTGACCATAACATTACTTTTTTTTCTATACTTTTTACATTTCTTATTACATTTTAGAGAGTGAAAGGGAAGGAAGAGGGGAGAGAAAGAAAGAGTTAGAGAGAAACGTCAACTGATTGCCTTCTGCATGTGCCCCGACCGGGCCAGATCAAACCTACAACCTAGGTACGTGCCCTTGACCAGGAATCAAACCCACAACCCTTTGGAGCACGGCTGACACTCTAACCACTAAGCAAAATCAGCCAGCGTAATTACTCTTTTTTTTATGACACTCAAATCCTATATAATAAAAAGCTAATATGCAAATCAACTGAACGGTGAAATGACTGGTCGCTATGATGCGCACTGACCACCAGAGAGTAGATGCTCAACTCAGGACCTGCCCCTTGGTGGTCAGTGCACTCCCAAAGGAGCCAGGATCACGGCTGGCAAGCGCAGAGGTGGTGGCAGGAGCCTCTCCCACCTGTGCAGCAGAGCTAAGGATGTCCGACTAATGTCTTAAGCCCACTCCCCACGTAAGTCAGATGCCCCCTGAGGGCTCCCGGACTGCGGGAGGGCGCAGGCTGGGCTGAGGGATCCCTCCAAGTGCACGAATTTCATGCACTGAGCCTCTAGTTACTTAGAAGCACTGCTATACTCTAACTACCCCCTTTGACGGTTGATGAGAATCCACATGTATTATAAACTTCCCAGATGATTTTCATGCAACCAGCCCAACAGGGACCATAGCCCTGAAGTTTAGGAAACGAGGACATAATGAAGAACACAGGCTTTGAAGTTGAACAGACCTACATCCAAATCATTGCTCCATCACTTTGTGACTGTGTGACCTCAGTCCAGTCACCAACCTCTCAGTTTCCTCAGCTGTAAGATGGGAATTAATATGCATAAAGTACCTAAGTGCTAGGCACTGAGGAAATGGTAACTATTAAATTATTAATAAACATAAGAATTTGGTGGCCAAACTAAGGTAGGTCAAATTTCTAAACTAAAATGATAATCAAGAGAATTAGAAGAGTCTTGTAAGACCTATCATCACTTAGTCATTCTATAATAAAAGCCTAATATGTTAAGTGTCCGGTCGTTCATTCAACCAATCAAAGCGTAATATGCTAATGATATGTTAAGGATGCTCAACCGCTCGCTATGACGTGCACTGACCACCGGAGGCAGACGCTCCGACGGGTCGGTTAGCTTGCTGCTGGGGTCCGGCCAATCAGGACTGAGCTAGATGGGCAGGACATGCCCTGGAGCCCTCCCGCGGTCCCTCTCCAGCTGGCCAACCTCTTACAATCCCCGATTGTGCACAGGTGGGGTGCCTTGGCCTGGCTTGAGCCCTCTCGCAATCTGGGCTGAGGGGCCTCCACCAGGTGTCTAGTTTTATATAAATAAGCATATACCCAAATCATGGTTTGAACATGATACCACATGCAGGCGTGCACGTACAATGCGATTGAAACTTCATGGCCCATGCGCAGAAGTCGGTATTTTGTGGAAGAGCCACACTCAAGGGGCCAAAGAGCCGCATGTGGCTCGCAAGCCGCAGTTTGCCAACCACTGTTCTAGGTCATCAATAATGCAGCAGTTCCTATTGCCCCATTCTCAGATGAATTTCTACCAACCCATTCCTCAGTAACATTATACATGGTCTTTTATATTTGGGGTAGTTCATTATTTGGGGGTTTGGTGTGCTGTTTTGCAAAACCCCACATGACAGTATTTCTTCCTAAAGACTAAGATCCTAAAATGCTAGTTTAAAACACAGGAAGAGACTAGGAGAAACATTCAATGATTTTCTTCCTTTTACCTATCTCAGATTTTGATTTCTCTGAGCTGATTGCTTTAGCGTGTCCTGCATGCTCCTCAATATAAAGAGGCTTTCTAGAGTAAGCTGCCCTTTGCAGCACTCAGAACTCTGAGTCAATGTCTGCCACAGGACATAGGCCAAGTACCTCCTGAGACATGGTGCGGTGCTTCTCCTGAAGGAGGTCTGTCAGCTCCTGCAGCCTCATGTTCTCTTGTGCGAGGAAGGAGTTCAGCTCCTGCACTGCTTCCTCCACTATCAGGTTGTCTGAGGGAGAAGAACTTTAGTTTAGCATCTACAGTGTCACATTTTAGAACTGCATATTCCACCAAAACATTAACATGAAATCTCACTTTATTTTCCAGAAAACTTCAAGAATTAGGCTGGTTTTCATTATCTTCACAAGATAGAGATTAGGTGACCTTCTTGAGGAAATGATCACAGTCAAGGTCACCTAATTCACATCCCTTTCTATAGAGTCAAAATGCCTTAATAAAAGAAATTGGGAGTTTCTATAACTTTATTCAGATAAGGCAGAATTATCTAAAACACTTAATTTTAGAAGACAGAGGCATCTCTAATCTGTCAGACTTAACAGCAATAAAATTCTATTTTATAAGGCTATCACAAATTCCTATTGTTCACTAATACCAACATGAAGCATCTCTGTGCTGGGAGACAAGAGGGCTAGGGGGCAGAAATTTCCTTGTTCAAATGAGCACCTATCTACACTAATAAAAGACAAAGATGCTAATTGACCGTATCTTCGCTATGCCCCCAAGCCATGCCCACCAGCCAATCAGAGCAACTATATGCAAATTAACCCAACCAAGATGGCGGCTGGCAGCCACGGAGCTGGAGCAAGCAGGAGGCTTGGTTGCCCGGGCGATTGAGGAAGCCAAACTTCCTGCCTACCCTGAGCTGGCTATAGCCTCAGCTCATGGCAACAAAGTTTCAATTATAGAAGACAAATAAATCCGAGATACCAGCTTCCAGCCAGCCTCCACTGGGAGCTTGGGTGGCTGGGGGCCATGGCCAGCCTGCAAACAGCCATCAGCACCTCACCCAGGATGGCCACACCCTCATGGGGTGAGGGTCCCCACTGTGGGGCTTGGTCAGCCTGCAAACAACCATCAGCCCCTCACCTAGGATGGCCACACCCTCATGAAGTGAGGGACCCCACTGGGGGTCTTAGCCAGCCTAAAAATGGCCCTCAGCCCCTCATCCAGACTGGCCAGGCACCCCAGCAGGGACCCCCACCCTGAAGGGACTATGGCCAGCCTGCAAACAGCCATCAGCCACTCACCCAGACTGGCCAGGCACCCCAGCAGGATCCCCCCACCCTGAAGGGGGTGTGGCCAGCCTGAAAACAGCCCTCAACCCCTCACCCAGGCTGGCCATAGTCCCTGAAGGGACTATGGCCAGCCTGCAAACAGCCATCAGTCACTCACCCAGACTGGCCAGGCACCCCAGCAGGATCCCCCCACCCTGAAGGGGGTGTGGCCAGCCTGAAAACGGCCCTCAGCCCCTCACCCAGGCTGGCCAGGCACCCCAGGGGGGACCCCCACCCTGAAGGGGCTGTGGCCAGCCTGAAAACAGCCATCAGCCCCTCACCTAGGCTGGCCAGGCACTCCTATATAATAAAAGGGTAATATGCAAATTGACCCTAACAGCAGAAAGACTGGGAATGACTGGTCACTATAACACACAAAGACCACCAGGGGGCAGACACTCAATGCAGGAGCT